AGAGAGAGAGAGAGAGAGAGACAGAAACAGAGAGAATGAGAGAGAAAGAGAGAGAGAGAAAGAGAGTCAATAAGAGAGAATGAGTGCGCGCGTTTGTGTGTTAGTGTGCCTGTGCGTGTCGTGTGTGTGTGTGTGTGTGAGTGTGTGTGTGTGTGTGTGTGTGTGTGTGTGTGTGTGTGTGTGTGTGTGTGTGTCTACGTGTGTGAGGGGGGCAGGGTGTGTGCGTGTGTGTACATGTGTGTATATGTGTGTGCGTGTATGTGCGTCTGTGTGTGCATATGTGTGTGTGTGTGTGTATGTGTGTGTGTGTGTGTGTGTGTGTGTGTTTTAGTTTAGGTATGGGTTTTTTCGGCACTTGCCACAAAATTAGGTAAAATAAGTACTGAAGGTTAGAGGTTAAGAGAGAGAATATACAAAGAAAAAAAGGAAGAGAGATAAGGGTGACATATGTTTGACAGGAAAGAAGGAGTAAACCACACCAGAGCACTCGCCAACCACCCACTTGTATGAGGGTATGTGCATATGTGTAATTTTTACCAAATTGTTTTCACGCCTTGAAAAACACTTTCCTGTATTCGAATAAAAAGAACAAAATAATTCACCATAAACATTCAAATAGCATCAGTGCCACAAAGTAACAACATCAACTCATCGCAAGACATTGTCCTTAATTTCAAGAAACATGTCAAAACAAACAATTAAAAGAAGAAAACTCAACAAATCATGATCATCATATTATTACCATTTTATTAGAAAATGTATTTACTTTATTCATCCCTCAACCATAGGCTCATCGTTTGGCGGCGATATGATTATTTGCACCCCAGCATTTCCCTCTTTTTCCATCTCCTGGTTCACCTCTAATATGTCGCACTCTTCGTCATCCTCCGACGCACACAGGTCAACTATCTGCTGCCAGTGCACCTTGAGAAGAACAACAACCGCGACGACGAAGGAGAGGAAAATGGCCGCACTAAGACCCCACAGGACATAGTTGGTGAATCCGTAGGAGACTTCTCTTTCCTGAAGATCCACTGGGGAAATAGAGGCTATTATAAGGTATTGCAGGTACTTTTCTATAGAGCAACTGAGGAAATAGAAAGTATTGTAAGTAATTGCATGTTCTTTTCTATAGAGGCAATGAGGAAATATAGAAGAGACTGTAAGTGATTGTAGGTTCTTTTCTGTAGAGCAACTGAGGAAATATGATAGGTTGTAATTGATTATAAATTCTTTACTATAGATCCTCTGAGGAAATAGAAGACAAATAAGGGATTGTAAGTTCTTTTCTATAGATCAACTGAGAAAATATAAGAGATCGCACGTGATTGTATGTTCTTTTCAACAGAACTATTGAAGAAATAAAAGAAATTGTAAGTGATTGAATGGGTTTTTTTCTATAGAGCCTCTGAAAGAATAGAAGGTGTTGTACATACTTGTAAGTTCTTCTCTATAGAGCCACTGAGAAAGTATAAGAGATTACAAGAGATTGTATGTTCTTTCCTGAAGGTCTGTTAAGGAAATACAATAGATTATAGGTGACAGTAAGTTCTTTTCATGGGCTTAAGCCTAAACATCAAGAAAACCGAAACGATGGTGATAAGCAGAAAAACTCCAATCCCAACATGCGATATCAAAATCAATGATACCACCCTCAAGCAAGTACAACATTTTAAATATTTGAGGACCATTATATCATCAGAATGGTACATCGAAATTAAAAGCCGCATTTGCCAAGCAATAGCAATCTTCCACAAGATGAAAAAGATACTAACAAACATAAATCTGTCACTGGAAAGGAGGAAAAGAGTACTAAACAGTTACATCGAGCAAATTCTATTATACGGGTGCGAAGCGTGGACAATCAATAAACTGCTGGAAAGAACAATTGTAGCGACAGAGTTGTGGTTCATAAGACGCATGATACGTATCCCATGAACAGCTAGAAAAACAAATGAAAAAGTCCTGGTTGAAGCAAATTATAGAAAACAACTTATCACGAATATAAGAAAACGACAGGCAAATTTCTTCGGACACACAGTGCAGAAAGAAGCATTAGAGAATATTGTAACAACAGGAAAGTTTGATGGAAAGAGAGGCAGAGGCAGACAGAGGGAAAAGATACTGGACAAGATGACAACATGGCTGGGAGCAGCAAGAACAACAGACACCATTGCTGCATCGAAAGACAGATGGAAGTGGAGGTCCATGATCGCCCACGCCAGTCGACAAGGCACCGGATGATGATGATGATGATGAAGTTCTTTTCAGTAGAACAACTTGTGAAATAAACGAGATTGTAACAGATTGTATGTTCTTTCTTGTAGATCGTCAGCTGAGGAAATAATAGCGACTGTAAGGGATTGTAAATTCTTTACTCAAGATCCACTGACGAAATAAAAGAGACAGGAAAGGATTGTGATTGTGTGTAGACACTTCCCCCCCCCCCCCTCTCTCTCTCTCTCTCTCTCTCTCACACACACACACACACACACACACACACATACACACACACACACACACACACACACACACACACACACACACACACACACACCTCGCTGACACAAATTTCATGTCACAAGAGGATGACTGCTCCGGCCCTGAATGTAAGGACTTGGATGGCGTATAACAAAGCGACAGAAAGAGAAAGGCGGGGGTATTCGATAAAATGGACCTCCTCACGTGGGGACTGACGTCCTTTGCGTGCGCATACAAAGAGACAAGTTCCAACTACTGTAGTTGGTGGGTTGGGGGTTTTTTTCAAGCACGCCCCCATCGACACAGTTTAGATAATTTTGGAGACGGGCTTCAACCATGCCTGTCAGGGCGAACCCGAGCTGAGGAGAAGGATACACCATTCCAGCAGGAGGACCGAGAGAGAAGACAGACAGATAGTAAATAGTCATTCAGACAGACAGACAGACAGACAGACAGACAGACAGACAGACAGACAGACAGACAGACAGACAGACAGACAGACAGACAGACAGACAGCGAAAGATCTTGTCAGTTAGTTAGTGTTTTAGTGAATGGAATCCGTTGTATGTTTCCAGTTTCCAGGGAAGCCGAGAATATTTCTGCGTGTTTTAGAATCTGCTGGAGTAATACTGGCTGTAACACGTATAGAGCAAGCTGTGGAACGTCAATATGCGCTATTTTAATGCAACTTTCATTATTTTGTATTAGACAGACAGAGAGACAGACAGACAGACAGCCAACCAACCAGAAAGGACTGACAGACAGACAGACAAACAGACAGACAGACAGACAGACAGGCAGACCGACAGACAGTCAACCAGACAGACAGACATACAGACAGACAGACAGACAGACAGACAGACAGACAGACAGACAGACAGACAGACAGACAAACAGACAGTCAACCAGACAGACAGACAGAAAGACAAACAAAGACACAGACACAGGAATAGACAAACAAACAAGTAAACAAGCAAACAGACAGACAGACAGACAGACAAAGAAACAAGCAACAACAAAAAAACAACAACAAAGAAACAGACAGACAGGGGAGGAAACTGACGTTTGAATTCTGTCCAGAAGCTGATGTTGAAGCCCCTGTGGTCGTCGCCTGGGTTCACTCCCCGCAGCTCTACCGTGGCCGCGTCACCCGAGGTCTTGTACAAGTTGCTGGACGTGAAGCCCCCACACAGGGACAGCAGGTCCAGCTCGTAGCCCGTGGAGCCTGTACAAC